TTATATCAAAGTTTGTATAAATAATAACTAATTATAAATAATATGCTATAAAAATTAGGGTGATAACTAATAAAATTATTAAGTGTAATCATATAAATAAAGTCTATTATAAGTTATAGTAATGCTAATGTATAAATTAAATATTTGTATATATATAATATTACTTTATTATGTATATATTAAATTAATGATACAACTTATATGTTATAACATTTTATATCAAAATTTGTATAAATAATAACTAATTACAAACAATATGTTATAAAAAATAAGGTGATAATTAATAAGATTATTAAGTGTAATTGTATAAATAAAGTTAATTAATTATAAGTTATAGTAATACTTATGTATAAATTAAATATTTATATATATAATGATTATACAATTATATATATATTCAAAGCATTTTATATTATGAAACATTGCTAAGGTGTAATAATTATAATATATTAATATGTAGGATGTTTACTATCATGTATTATAATATTAACATATAAGCTATATCATTTAAAGTATATAACTTGTAATTTCATATTAATACAGATTTATTAATAAATATAACTAAAATTAAATTATTATGATTATAATTTGTATACATACATATAATAAATTAATATATATTAAGTATAGTATTAATTAAGTTTATTATCAATTCTTTTTAATATATATAAAAAATTAGTTTAGTTTTTTAGATAGATTGGTTTAAAAATTTTAAAAATGAGAACCGATAAAAAAACCGAGAATTGATATTATTAATCAGTACTTTAACAAATAGAGTAGTGGGGTGGGATTTCTTTTTTGGTATTGAATTTACAATGAAAAGATATTTATTTGCTTAAAATGTTTTCTAGTAGTAATCATCCTTTTTACATAAATGCAAACCCTTTCTTCAGATTTGACAACATTTTGATTCAACAGATTTGCTTTATAACTTTAAACTTTATATACAAAAGAAAAAGAAAAAGGTTCCCTCCATGGCCACCTAATTTTCCTTTCATTCAATATGCAAGGAACATGGGATATTGATCCTTTATCGGTTGGCAGAAGTTGAACATGTAACAATTTTGAGTACTTTTTCAAGCGTTTGGTCTCATTTGTCTTTGGCGAAGACAGTATCTAAAAGAAGTTTGAATGGACAATGATAAAGTAGGTGACGTGGGTTCTGGGCTTCTGGCCCTTCCCCTGAGGTTCTATAATCAATCACATTTCAGTATCTGACTTGAGTGAGGAGTGCTTGTACATGGTACATGTTTGTAACAGATGTGTTGGATTGGATTGGATGTGCCCTGCCCCATCTTTTCTCTCTTCAGTACAGCTTTAACAGTTTTCGGTTTCACCCTTTGCATTACATTTGATTAGGCCACTCTCCTTGGCCTCCTTTTCTTAAAGACATGCCATAGTTTTCACCTCTTACAAAATATTCTCAATTTATTTGTCAAAAGCAAAACGCCATTTGATTCAATGATGAGGGCATATGTTTGTTTCGAATTCTTTTGCTTCCCCTAATCAAAACCCTTAAAGATAAAATCTCTCAACTTATGGTTTTGAACTGTTTGATAAGGCTCTAATACAACATGGTACATACACCTTAATTCAGGGCTTCAATAAAAAAATATAAAAGGGGGGGGGGGGGGGTGGGTGGGGTGGTGGTGGTGTTGGGAGGGAGGGTGGAGACGACAGGAGAGATGAAGAGGGGAAAGAGTGCCCTTACAATAAAAAGAGGGCTGTCAATACATAAAAGTGCATTTAGGAGGAGAAATAGTAGTACTGAAATGTTATAAATGAAATGAAATGACAGAGGAGAGGAGGTTGGGGGGAGGGGAGTGGTTTGTAAGTATGTGAGTGTTGTGTCCTGACTGAATGCCATGTTGGGAAAGAGTTTGGGTCTATCAGTTCTCTGTAATGCTTTGAACTGACCTAAACCTCTCATTCCCTTTAAGGAAAAGCCATCATACCATTTGACACCCAGACATAGTCGGGAACATGCAAACTATCAGATTTTGGGAAAAGCATCCAAAGAGCCCCCCCCAAAAAAACAAACCCTCTCTCACCACTCAGCATGTCCTTTTGACATGGCGACCATTTTCGGTATCAGTGTGTGAATTATAGAGATTACTCCTCCAATTCATCTTCATCTTCATCCTCTTTCACTCACCTTCTCATATGTAACTTCTCATTTCATTGCTCATTTTATTACTTTTGTACTGACTGTCCAAGGGGTGCCAAAATCTTGCAACTTTTGTCTGAGAAAAATCTTTCTTTGGTTTATTCTAAGATATCTTGTGAAGGAGGAATCACATTATGATATTCAAACCTTATGATTGCTTTTCTTTTTTTCTTTCTTTTGCATGAGTTTCTGTTGGAGCTGACATTCAATTCACTATGAATACTTCAACATTTTTGCATATAGTTCATCATTAAATTGATATGAGTAAGTATATATGCTCTACTTAATTAAATTTAAACCTAATATGTACTCGGAGAGGTATAATAAGAGGGAAAAGGAAAAAGATATTGCCGGCTTTTGTATGCTAAAAAAATGTAGTTATCATTTAGAGATTATTATGAATTTTTCTTGAATTGTTAAAAAGTTCGAAGTAATGAAATTGGCATTATGGGTTCTGCTCAGTATACACTCATGCCTGTGTTGGAACTTGGTTACAATAATGATCTGCCATGGTGATTGTAAATAATGCATAGTATAAGTGACTGTATGGAAAATGACTTGCCGAAAAAGTTCCAGGAAGTCATTTTTCCCTATTTCAATACAAATTTTGTTTTCAATAATGTGACATATTCCATCCGCCAGTGATTCAAAAACAAACTTTAAACTGTCATATTTTTCCTTTTTATCGACATAATCTATTCAAAGCAATATTAATTTATAGATGTAGCAAGCAATTTTAAGATTTGTCTAACAATTGACAAACTGTCATGAAATCGATCTCATGTTTTTGTTTATATTCTAACTTGTTAAGAGTAGAAACTAAATAAATATTATCAAATCAGAACAAATTATTCTTGCTTTTTCCCCCCTTCTTTGTGTTTAATTATCATTTAAATTCGATTGTTTTGTCAACTATGGAACATTTTTTGTCCTCATCTTCCTTTTGGTTAGGCAGCGAAGCAATATTTTTTATTGATATATGTACTATATATTTTGGGGAGAGGGGGTTTATTTGAATTTGTTCCTCACCTAAAACAAGAGCTAGCTCGTTATGTTTTCTAACTAAAGCAAGCTACCTTGATATAATATTAATATACCTAAGAAAATCATTCAAACGTTAGTTCTCCTTATATTTTCTTTGGCATATATTCACTAGTAAGACATCATGAGGTTTCTCTTCTAAGTAGGTCAATTACACAAAAAGAAAGCTGACCACTTGAATTATTTTACTTTGGGTTTTAAAATTTTGATTAAACCAACTGTTTTTGTAGTTAAGTACAGTTAACCTAACCAGAGTATTTTGTAGTTTGTACACCAACAACGTTAATAACCAAAGCCAATAAGAAAAATCAGGATAAAATTAACAAACGTATATGTAAGGAGAGACAATAGAGATAATATTCATACAAAATTAATTAACAAGATAACTTTTCTCAGCTTAAAAGATGTGCAATGATATAAAATGAAGAATTAATTAAGCATGCTTCATTTAAACATAAAACTAAATTGTCAATATATGGTAGGTATAAACTACATGGTAGATTCCTACTGCTGAGGGGCCGGATGATGAGAGTCATGAGAGACTAGTACATTCGGCTATAATATTCTTACATTTAAGCAAACTGATAAGACATATTTATGTAGCATTGCAGCTTCATGATTGAGTTGATTTCCCAGTGCATGGTAAACAAATGAAGCTTATAAATGATCACAGACTGGTGAATGCATATGCCAAATTGGAAGCACCCAGTCTAGGATGTTAGTTGACAAAGCTGCAACAAATTCATCAAATAACTAAGAGTACCCCAATCGAAGTTCCAAATCCAAATCGTCTTTGGAATCACTAACCAGACCGATCTCCAAGTCCAAGTCCAACTTTACAAACTCAGTCTTCTTCAGGAACTTATTACACTCGTAATCTTTGAATTCTTTGACTCCATAAAACGATTTTCCACCCTTGGTCATGTTAGTTGAATCCGAGCCTTTCGAGCTCAAAGGATCCATGAGGGTACCATTCACTCGCCATTTCTTCATTTCATGACTAGGGGAAGCAGAAGAAGAAGATAAAGAAGAAAGAGGAGCAGAAACCAGGGAAGGTAATGTGGATGAGAATGGAGAAGAAACCAAGGGTGAGGAAGATAAATTAGGGTTAGGGTTAGGGTTAAGGTTAAGGTTCAGACAAGGGGGCTGACCATGATCCCCTGGAGGTGATTGTCTTAGCCTGGCTCTGTCTCTCCTGTGAACATTCATGTGACCACCCAGAGCTTGAGCAGATCTAAATTCTCGCTTGCAGAAGCTGCAAGTGTAAGACCTTGGTGGCCATGAAAACCCAGCTAGATAATCTTCTCCAAAACCTTGATTATTACTGCTCCATGTATCCTTAAGCTTGAAGTTGTTCTGGTTGTCGTAGTTGCTGCTGCTGTCTTTAATGGCTTTATTTCCAATACTATGGTCTTTCAGGCTGTTACTAAAACTGTTCCTCTCCATGGATTCTTTTTGGTTCAGTCAGACCTGGCAAGATCAAAAAGACAAGAACAGTCTAGCACATATCATGTCAATTTATAAAGAAACAAAAGAACCCCTCCTCTCAAAAGTTGGGACTAGAAAAGAGAGAGAGAGAGCGAGAGAGAGGGGGGAAAGCAACTGACCTGAGATATGCGGTGATGATATGGAGTTGGGTTCTCGGTCTCAGAGAAGAAAGTGATTAAAGTTGCAACAATACAGTCCATCAAATTCTAAGCCAAGAAGCTGAAAATCCCATTGAAGGGGTACCCCATCCATATTTTCGGTCACTACATACTATATGTAGAACCTCGGCCTGCCATGTTTCGCCTTTTTGCCATATGAAGAAAAAACTCTCCAACTATTTTATAAATTGTTTTATACGTAACTGTTCCAAAGAAATTAATTTAGGAGATGAGATCAGTGGATGGACACCTTACACTGAGCCATACAACATGGCCAGATGCCATTGGTTAAAATCAGACAAGTCAGAGGAAAGAGAAAATGCATACTAGCTTGAATGCTTGATTTCCCATGGTTCTTAGCTTTTGTACCTCTGTGGAAAAAGGAAAAATAAATGATAAAATTAACACAAGAATTCTGTGTATTGAATGTTTGAATAAGGCTCATTGATTATCAGAACCTAATTAATAATGGAGTAATGGGAGTACAAGTTATCATTCTCATCTATATCTGGACCAATCGACAAGAAGTACTATGACTACAATTAATATTGAATGTCTGCAATGGCAACTTGAATGAATTGAGTACGGAATCAATCACCAATTCACCGTGCATGAACAAGCATTAATCTTGACACCCACAACTGCCCTAATCATTCATTAATACTCATCAAACTGATAATCAATTGACAGGTACATGGAGCTTATTCTAAGACACATTCATTATCCTTAATTCCTACCATTGCATCTTCCTTTTAGCTTAGATTTTATTTTAAATGATAAACGAATATCTTTTTAGAGCACATAATCAAAATTTTCTTGATGTCGTAGTAGTGATTAGTAAAGTTTCATTTGCATATAAAATTAATTTCATTCGTAAATATTTTGAAGATGTTCCTTTAGTGTTGGACCTCAACTAAAGGAATATATCTTTCAAAAAAAAAAAACGAAAGGAATATAAGTATTTGTCTTTCACCAGTTACTCTAAAAAAGAAAAAAAAATTATCAATGGCACGGCTAAATTCATAATTATTGTGCTTTAATGAGACATACATGCATATTACTTCTAACTTATTTACAAGGAAGCAATAGGTCGAAAAGAAGATAATTAATGTGCTTTATCACTTCTAAAATTATTATTATTGTTATGATATACAATATAACAAGGACTACTCAGTCTCTTTCATTTCCTAGACCAAACATCTTTTTCACAATTCAGACTACTATGTTAAATGTTGCAAATTGAAGTCGTCAAATTCTAAGATATTTTCCTGGGAATGGAAAATTGCTAATAAATTAGTATTCAAGTTTTACTAATGTTCTTAGAGTCCAATAGATATATAATTCATAAATAATTAATCAGAAAACTATTAGTTGAAAAATATAAGATTAAAATTTAAATAGTACAACAAATTTGGATTTCAGCTGCATCTCTTTAAACAACATATTTTTTATGTAATGAAATCTTAAAAAGTGTAACTATTTAAACTTTTAATTGTATTTTTTTCCTACGGATAGTAGACATATCAAAAGTGTAGTCTTTACTAATAAAGGTAATCTGTATAACTACATTTTATTTAGAGAGCTTCTATCAATTCTTATAGAACAATTAAATTTGCAAAATTACTGTAAAAGTATACAAAAAGTATTATTGAAAATATTTTTAATAACATATTTTTAAATTGTTAAATTTGTTGTAGTTCAAAGAGGAAGTTAAAAATTGCCAACCTTACACTTGCTTCATGACAAACACAACTAAAAATCCGGTGATAGTTCTGTTTTTCCATTAGAAGGAAAAGTCGACAAAATTCACATGCAATTGATTTAAAATCAACACAAACTCTTCATATAAAATAGATCTTTCAATGTATTTTTATTTCTATGCTAGCCATAATAAATTATACTGAATTAATGCCCCAAAAGGGTTTTTTTTTTTGCTAAAAAAATTGTGAAAAACCTAGGAAGAAAAGACATGAAATCGTTAACATGGAACACTGGGATAACGAAAACAAGCTTATAAGATTCCCTACGTTTTTCAACTTTTGTTCCTCCTTTACCTGGATGTTGAAAATGGAATGGAGCTAGCTATAATAGCTACCGCTAAAAAGTAGAAAAAAAAAACAAAGGGTAGTAGCTGTATATAATTGCCAGCACAACGCAGATGCAACAATGCCTGCAGCCAATATCTTATCATTCGAAAAAGCTTTGATTTACACAACATTATCTCAAAGGAAGGAAATCCCAGTGCACCCCCCATGATTTCCTTTCCTTATTCTTTGAGAATAAGGGAGCAAGGTTCATCAGAGAAGCCGTTTAGACAAAAGATACTGCCCCATTTAGCTGAGATTTACTGAAAGACTAGCAGCCAATTAGGTGATCCCGTGTCATGCTATATATAGCCGTGATTTCATTAGCTTCGGCAGCCGAAATTGCAGTGTTTACCCGCAGTGTAAGAGGTTGCCGTCTCTTCCACTCCTAGTTTAAGATTTCAGGTTGTTATGTATATTTTCACTAGAATCTGAGGTTTATAGCTTCCTTTAATGCTTAATTACTTTGTTTACATATGACAAAAAAGGAAGCGGAGAAAGTTGTTAATTAGCACAGGCTAAATTCTGGTTTTGTTAGCTGTTAATGAATTACAGTCCTGATGGGAATTAAACAGGCTTTGCCATTTGGTTGCTTGTCTCATCAGCTTTGAATCATTTTGAGTCTTTTTTTTTCTTTGTTTTTCTAATCTCTGCTTGAAAAGCACATGGAAAGCATCAACACGGAAAGCAGAAGCTCAAGTGCTCTTTACAATGCGCATTGAATTTGTGCGGGTTGGCAACTTGAGAGGCTGACAGATTGGGAACTCCTTTTCGTTTGGATTCTGAATTACGGTAAGGCTTGCCATTCGCTGTTCACAGCTCTTTGTGCTGATAAGAGATTCCAATTTCCAACGGGGAAGAGGGTCCTGAGCCCAGAAGAAAATGCCAAAAATGTTCACTGATCCGAGCAGATCTTCCATGGTCTTGTTGTCACATTTTTCATGTTGGCCGCTAATTAACTATTTCATAAATTAGGGCAATCTGTCTAATTTTTTTCTTTGTAAAAATTTTATTATCAAACAGCTATGAATTTATGCATCGTGAGAAAATAAAGATAAACCTTTATTATATCAGGATTTGATAGCCAAAAGAAAAATTATTATTTTAATTTTTTTATTTTGCAAAGAAAAAGATAAAAATTATTAGTTCATGGTCCCTTTCATTATATAATCAATTAAGGAAGATTAAGAATCTGCTATTGGCTTTTGAAAAATACACACAAAAATTAAGAACTATTAGCTTAGCCCAATGGAGTGGCCTATACACCATTGTAAAAGTTTTGTGTCGTCCGCGGCTGAACCCTCAAAAGAAAAATGGGCTGAAAAGCCCAACAAGTTTCTATAACTAATAAACTCAGTTTTTATTGACGATTGAACTCTGCAATAAAAGGACGCCAAAAGATTATCTCATAATATCTCAATTTCTTCTGTTAGATGAAATCAGATTAGACCTGTTTGGCATATCCCAAATTATCCTAGAGCATAAATTTTCATCACTGATATCGTATATGTAGTACTAAAACCCAGAACCAAAGAACACAAAGAACAGGTTCTAGGCAAGAAAACATGAAAATAGACTAAAATTTCACCGTAATATCTCAAAATCTTCAACCGACGCTAACGATAATAGTTGTGCAAACTTCAATTGTTTTCATCTGCACCGGAAATATGAATTTTGAGAAACTCCAATTCCATCTCTAATTGAAAGTTCTTTTGCCTTTCATTTTCCACGTCCAACCTCAACCTCTCGATTAACTGCAACAATTGATCTTCTCTGCTGGTCACATCCCCTCCAAACAGGGCAATTAGATCTGTCACCCTCTGCCTTTGATCATCCAAACTTCTTTTCAGTGCCGTCAAGCCACCCATCATTATATCTGTATTAACAATACTCTCAATTCCAGCCTCATCTCCTACAATTCCCTCAATTCCAGACTCTTCTTTGCCCCGAATTCCCCATGATGATGGTGAAGAACCTTCATCTCCTCCCTCCCCTCTTGAACTAAGCAAACTTGACTCCGCTTCTGGTGAATTCAAATTTGTAGTTCCAGAATTCCTTAATCCAGCCGTCTCATCTACTATTTCTGGAATTATCGTTTCGCCACCAAAATGAACCTGTTTCACAATTAGATCCTCTTTTGATTCATTGGGGAATACAGGTTCAAGCTGGAAGTCATCTTCGTTGAAGTTCCACCCACTAATCCTTCTATATTTAACAAGCTGAGACTCCCCATCAACATCTTCATCTGCTTCAAGATTAACACCTTTCCGAAGAATTTTGCTGACCCTGAACCTTTCTTCAACCATAGGCAATCCATGCAATACATTCTTTGCAAGAAATTCTGAACCTTTGCAACTCTTGAAAAAAGAATGTTTCAGAAGCTTCTCTGCCGAGGGTCGCTTTGCAGGATCTTGTTCAAGACAAGAGGCAACCATATCCTTAAATGCCTTGGAAAACTTCTTGCTCTTACCTTTTTTGTTATTATTTTCATAATCAGAAAATCTAAACCGCTTGGTAATTTTCATGATTAAAGACTTTGAAAGGGGTAGATGAGATAAAGGAGGCCTTCCATGAGCTAATTCAAGTGCAGTTATTCCAAACGACCATATGTCAGCCTTGAAACTATATCCTGTATGCGAGTGTATCACCTCTGGGGCCATCCAATATGGAGTACCCGTCACGTCATTTAGCATCAACTGTGATGAAGATGTCGATGAGCTTGATCCATAACCTGGTCTGGACTCATAAATCGAAGCAGAAACTCCAAAATCAGCAAGCTTAACACATCCGTTTGAGTCCATCAAAATGTTGCCAGCCTTTACATCTCTATGCAAATGCCCTTGATTGTGAAGATACGACAATGCATTTAGGATTTCTTTGAGAATAATGGCAATGCATTGCTCTGGTAAGCCATGGGAGAAAGAAGATGAGATTATGGATTGTAAAGAACCGCCAGACATAAAGGGCATCACCACCCAAAGACGTTGGTCAACGGTGAAGGAGCAATGGGCATTGAGGATGTTGGGGTGTGAGAGAAGGGACAAGATCTTGGTCTCACGTCGAATGTTGTCGAAATCTTTGCATTGGTCAAGATCAATGGATTTGATGGCAACAACAGTTGAATTCATGGGAATACATTCGGCTTTGTAAACCACGGCACTAACACCAACCCCGATTTCATCCATGATCTTGTAAGCATCTGATTCTAATGGGAATTGAAGCTTCGGATGATCTTCTTGTTCATGAGCCATGAAGTTTCTCTTTTCTTTGCTTTCTTTCTGTTTGTTGCTTGGGATGGGGTTTTTCTGGAGGATTCTTGAAGAATAAAGACGAAGGGAAGAGAAAGAAAAAGTAGAAAGGTTTTAGGCGGTTTTCTTGTGAGGTTTGAAAAGGAAGGACATTGTTATAGCGGTGATATATTTATCTATGAGAGGGTAAAGGGGATACATGTGAATCTACAACTACTTTTATCTGTATAAAAGAAAGAGAACGAAATTCAGGTTTCTAGCATTAAATAAAAAGAAGCAAAGGCCAAAGGCAATGGGATGTTGCTTGAATGGGCATTTGGAGCTAATTACTATTAATTGGTACTATATCTTTGTTGCAATTAATTAAATCTATTTTTTGGACCAAAATACATTGGAGACTCCTTTATAATCAGCAGATATAGAGAGTTTGATGTGATTATTTTATATTGTTAATGAAAATATGAAAAATAGTAATGAGGTGATTGTTTGATGCAATTGGTGAAAGATAAGGAAAGCAATGATAAACCAATCCAAGAAAACTAATTTTGGATAAGTGGATATGCTCTCATCTTTTCCAGGCTGATCTGGTCCTTGCGCTACATTTTCAAGGCTTTTTCAAATTTTACTCAAAAAGGGTAGTCACGACCCGATCAGAGATGATCTATCAAGAACTTAAAAATTGCAATTACCTATGTAAGTCCACTGCTTTTGGTTTTTTGTTGCTGCTTTCTGAATTAATGATTGATTGTTTAACTTCAATCATTGAGTATTAAGCATTGGAATTCTTTTCTCCAATTTCCAAGCTCCAAACAGTGAATTAGCATATTATTCAATGGAATACTGGCAAAAGCAAAAACAGAGCAGTACTATTTCTTGCCAAATCTGTTTCTTCAGTTCCTACGATCTCCTTTCATCTACCTTATAGCCATTTAATTTGTTGCTAACAAATTTGATAACTAGATTTGTTACAGATAAATACCAAAGACTGACACCTGACAGCCTCTTATTTAAAGAATTTCTGCCTCCCTTGTCACAAAAGTTTAGGATTTGATACTTGAAAAGCAGTAGGTTAATAGCAGCAGATGAACTTGACGGTTCAAGACATGAGAACCAAGGATCCAAGGCACAGGAAAGAAGTGGAAAGTGCAAGAGAAAATAGGGTAACCGAAGGAGGAATCCGTCCTTTGTCCTTCCTGAACATCATCCCTTCAATTATAGGGAAATGCACCATTAGGATGTAAAAGGAGAGGAAAATTTGTCCAAACATCTCATTCCAATTACTTTCCTTGATAATTATTCTGGCAAGCCCACCAGCTAAAGAAATCATGTTTAAGGTGACTAATGCAACCAGTGGAGCAAGAACGATTGTTGATGCTTGGAAATTGAATATTCCCTTTTGGTAGAATGTGACTTGTTCATCATCTGCAACTTTATTTGTGGGCACGAAGTTGGCTTCCCTCAAACCCAAAAACTTCAACACAGCGTTCAAACTTCCAATGGAATAAGATATAACTGACTTCATCATCCAAATCCTCTCTTCTTTCCACCATGTCCAGATTGGATCACCCGTTGACAGAACTTCCTCTAAATGTTTCAATTGTGACATGATAAAAATATATGAATAGATCATAAACCATGAATCTGAAACCTGTAAGAGAGAGAAAAAATAGTCAGATCCTCTTAGTGAAGGAAATCCAGTTTGGTAAAAATAGAATTGCCTTTTAATGAACGCACCTTGGGGTACAAGGGAATGGCATTCAAGAGGCATAGTTGAGGAATAGTAGCTAAACACCACATAGGCAAGGAATAGAGGGGCTGAAGTGAAAGGTGGCAATAACACATTGTTTGAAGCAGAGACATTCTTGATAATCCATAAATCAGAGGGGAAAACCCTGAGAGGGCAACTTGGAGCACCCCACAGTTCCACCTTGCACCTTGTAATAACGTGTCATTCAACTTTGTTGTGGCGGTGCCCAAGAATGCTGGCCTCGGGGGATCACAAAAGATAGAATTCCACCCCTTGCAGTGCAACATAAACCCAGTAAAATAATCTTCTACCACGGAGTTGTACAAGAATCCAACCTGTTTTTTTTTTTTGAGGAAAAAAAACTGAAAATTTATTGGCACGTCAACTAGTCTATGATAGAAATAATTATATATGAATGTCCTTGCTTGCCTGCTTTCCCCACTGAGTTTCTTTCTCGTATGTGCAGGAGGCTAATCTGGTTTCTTCTAGCAATCTGCTTGGCGAGTCCATGTTGTTGACGGAGTTATGATGGTTGCTCCGATGAAGTGATTTCACTAATTCATTTGATGGACCAAGATATTGTCTTAACTGAATGGGGTCGGTACCTGGATTGAAAATGAAAATTAAAGCCATACAGTCTTCATGAAAAATGCTTATACATTACAGAATCCAAGTAGAACTATTCCAACGTTTAAGTCCCATATGATGAGATTTCTGAGTACTTCTGCTTAACAGGGTTTTTTTTTTCACCTACCTTCTTGTACTATATCTCCATACAACGCCTTTCGCTTTATGTAAAAGCCGGTTCCAGATAACATAGGTCCCTGCAGTCCATCCATACCAGGCCACTTTACCTGAAAATGAGATCCAACAATTGTGTTTAATGTTCATCTAAGAAGCAAACAAGAACAATCTCACATATAAGAGCCTCTGTTATTGAACATGAAAACAGGGGCAAACAGAGCACATTTTTCTTATATTTCTTACACACACACACACACTTGTGATTACAACCACATTACTTACAGTAAACAAAGCATTAGAACAAGTTTCATTGCACTAACACTCGTCATCAGCATTAAATAAGTGTTAGATTACACAAACTGATGCCCATGCAAGATTACACGTATGGTTCTTAAAGACAAAACCAGTTATAACATAATTCTGGAAAAGAATGTGCCTAATACAGGCCAAGGGATCATTCCATTATTACATGTAAGTGTAACACACTGATTGTAGTTTCACTTCATTTACTCACCAAGAATACTGATCTTAATTGGCCATCATATATATCCATCGTACTGAGATTGTGGAATTTCTGAGGGAATTGAACAAAAGCTAGGTTGGAAGAGATTCTAGGATCCAAGTGGAAACACATTGCTTGTAATGCGGATGTCGGGTCATTGCAGCGCATGTCGCAGTCTAATACTAATATGTAAGGCGAGTTGCTTATCATGCTGGACAGCCTAAGCTGCAACAGAAGTAAAACCAACTTACAACTTCACGACCAGTTCTGTTCTGCATGAGAAATGTGTTTTGGCAAAACATAAAGGGAAGAGAGAAATTACAAGAACATTGAGTGCTCCAGCTTTGAAATGGTGAGGAGACGAAGGGCTTTTCTCACGAGAAACGTAGACGAGAAGGGGCATCTCGGCTTGATTGGTGTCATGGGATTCATCTTGTATCACCTGCAAAAGAATTCCCAATGCATTTGAATGCTTTACTAAGGCGGATTGGTCCATGGAGCTAGTGGATCGATTATGTTTTGGTTACAAAAGGCCAGATCTAATGGACCCTATTGCGTATCTGCCCTTTCTATGTATTAGCGACCCAAAGAAATACCAAAACCAGATGCCAAAGCCCCATGGCCAACCACCATGGTCTGCATCATTTATATATATATATATATATATTTATATATATATATATTATAATCTTCTCTATTTCGTTTTCCTTTTCGGCATTGTCCCCCAAAATTAAGTTTCCCATGATCCAAAAGATTAGACAAAAACAAAACATGAACATATTCTTAAAGTGGCCAACGATTTAGTGATTTACACAGATATATTAAAGAAATACCTCAATAGTTGCAGGATGATTTTTAGTGTTCAAAGTGCAGGTTTCTCCCAGCATCTCTCCACTGCTTCCTGCTTTCTTCACGTGCTCTTCCAACCACATGTACTGTTGCTGCACCAGTGTTGACCCAAATCTCCATTATTAAACTTAAACAGTGTAGATTAATTGCCCTTGCACGAGCATTACAGATTCCGATATATGCTTGTATATAATTATAGCTAATTGATAAAAATCCAAATTTCCAATAATTTTTTAAATATTTATTTGGAAGTGTTATTTTATTATAAGATTGTTATTCTATAAATCCATCTTAGAGTTAATTAAAATGTACCACACTTTTAGAGTGCAGTTTTCTTTCAATTAGGAAGAACGCTTATTTTGACTAATAATAATAACCGAAGTATAAAAGCAGCAAGGTCTTACACATGGAACCAAGAAAGCTGTACAAAATGCTAAAAACCATCATTTTCTACACTGAACTCATATTTAGAAGTGAAATTGATCTATGCGGTATTTTTTCATATAAAAAAGGAATTATAAACGGTAAAGAAATTATATATAAGTATACACAAAAGAAAAAAAGTGTCTAACCTTGATCTTCTCTTCTTCTTCGTAGTATCCTTTTCCCTAAGATCCCATACCTTGAAAAATAGGCCTTTGGACATCTGGTTTTTATCCCAAACCTCGTACAAAATGGAAGCCAAGACCTACCAAATTTCCAAGCCTCTCTCATAGCATGTAAAGTTAAGGAAGAACCTCCATCATCCGAAACATAAACTGAGAGCTTCCCTATCGGATAATCCAGTGCCATTGCTGACAAAACAGTGTTCATTACCTCCAAAGGCGGCTCCTTCGTGGGGTCTGCAGTGCATATAAACACATCGATTTCCGGTAGTTCTTCCTCCTTTTCCTGCAACAATCTCTCGGGGAAAGTTTTTCGAGAAACGGGTCTCCATAGATAAGCTTGGTTGAGTAGCCAAAGAAGAGATAGAATAAGCTCAGAGGCAAATACCAGGAGGTGAGGGAGAGAAGGTCTTGAATGCAAAAAAGAAGAAACTCTGTAGAAAATCAGGGAAGTTACAGCTATGGAATGGAGGAGAGCGTAAGAACGGTTGATTATGGCAGATCTTTTCTTGGGGTTGCAAAGATTGAAGGGAAGAGGCTTCATCTTGCGTGCTAACATTTGCTTCCTATCCAGGCAATATTAAATCTCTCTCATAACCTTCATTATATAAAATTGTATAGTAATTTAGTACCATTTAATACAGACAGATTCTACATGTACTATATTCAAATACTAATTAACTGCACCAGACATAAATATAAAATTTGTAATAGAAAAAAATTAACTCCCCATTGTACAAAATCAGACCTAATGAAATAAAGAAGATTAAAGTGGACAAACACATTTTGGCTAGTGGTTAGGAAGATGATATGATTACGGATGAAACGTGGAGGGTGACAATAGCAGGATAAGGTTAGCCAAGGTATCTAGAATCGTGGTGGGATTTCTCAAGAGCAGAGTTGCAAAACGAAACGCAAATAGAATCTAATTACCTTATTATAGGATTAATATATTTATTGAAGTAGGCAAGTTCGGATTAATTCACTACACGGAGCTGTCCCTGTACATTGGGGACAAACAATGACAAACAACTTTATATATATAAATATATATATATATATATTCTTCTTATAATAAACCGGCATAGGGAGTACTAGTCTGAAAATTTTTTGTCAAAGGTGGACTCATTGTACCGTCTTAGTGTGAAAGACGAAGAAAGTTTGTAAATCAGAATGATGTGATATGTCAATAAAAAGAAAATACTTGGAGTTGACATGGCGTAAAGATGTAGTCATGTGACAAATTTATCTTTTGCAGTGATGAGTTAATATAGCACAACAATATTGTATTAAATTTGATTAAGATAATTAGTTAATTTTTAGTTAAAAATATTTATAAAATTTAAAATAAAAAATACAAATTTAATTAAATTCAATAAAAAATATAATTTATTTGAATTTTTAGAAATAGTTGAGGAGGTTTTTTAAGCATTATGTTAAAAAAAATTCTCATCTGTTCCATTTTCATAATCAATCTTTCATTTTTTGGATATAAAAAAAATTGTTAGAAATGATAAATTCAAAAAAAAATTGATGAAAAGGAAAAAAGGAATAGAGCCCGAAAGCTTGCAATTTAGCTGTTGATCAATTACATAGACTGTTCAAATTTAAAGCTGAAAAGATGCCATAACATCATAGGCTAAACTCTTATTTATTGTTTTTAATTGGCCAGATAAGATAAAAGGTAATAGCATTTAAAAAAATTAAATAAAAGGTAATAATTTCAAATGTCATGAATCCCATTTTTTTTTTTGGAGGTTTCAACGATTCAATAAGAATCTCTAAATTGAAAATTTTCAATTTTTGAATTGTTTGATTTATTAATCTGTTAAAGATAGAAAACACTATTATTTTGATATAAAATTGGAGGAAGACTATTTATGTCATTTTCATAAGTATTTCAATGAAATTAGAAATTAAAAAAAAAAAAGAGGAAACAAGAAACTTAAACTCTCGGGATTCATCAATGAGTGTCACTTGAGAATAACATCACTGAAAAAGACAACAATAATTAATAGTGATGAATACAAAATCATCCCTTCAATAATCGAACTTACACAAAGCAGCATGCAATTGCCCAAATGCCAAAGAAAATTTTGAAAGCATTTGGTACGTGGAGAGTGAATTGTTTTACAGGAATTTTAATTAATTTGAAAGATTTTATGCTGTTTCATATGTCAAGTTGTCGGGAATGTAATTTTATATGGATATAAGATTTCAAGAGTGGGAGAGAAGGAGATTCCGGATTGGATGGGAGGGAATGTTACTTTCTCATGACTGATGGAAAGTAAAGTGGACTAAGAGAAAAAAATGAAAGAAAAGGTAGCCATGCTACACTTATAATATAAATTAATTAAATTAATTGATTAATAATTTATAAAATAATTTAAATTAATTAATTTAATTTTTTAAAGTTTAACTAATTTATTAAAAATAA